GAGCCTGCCTGTAGGAGAGAGAGAGAGAGAAGGCGAGTGAATAAGACATTCCCCAAACGTCTCATTTTCCACTGGAACCACCGAAAAAATGCCCACAAATTGATGAGTCTACCGGCCGATAAGTGCAAACGCCAAAGCTGACAATATGCCATGTCGGAGGCATTCCGTAATGACGAGGAGAAAGCAGACAGACACAATAACGTACAAAGTGTGTTTTGGCCATGTTTGCGTTTGCGAAAGTCATTGGGGTGGGCCGAGATAAGCGACTGTCTCACGTGTGCATTTGGTTTTGTGGAGGCAGGGCAGGACAGGACAGGACAACAAGAAGGAAGAAAAGAGAAATACAGACAAGCCGGAGAGGAAGAGGAGGAAAAGGAGAATGTGGAAGAGATGAGGGTGTGGCGGGCAAAACAATGTGGCGTCTATGAAAATGAAACGCATCGCATATCGGAGTCCCTACACAACCGCTCATCAGTCTGCTTTCGGTGTGCGTGTGTGTGTGTGTGTGTTGGGCTTAATTTCAGCTAATCGTAGGGTTGTGGTACGAGGAAAGTCCTTTTTGGCCTTGCTGCTAGAGCAGAATAAGATGCGCATCGGCAAAAAAGACCAACTTCTTGCTCGCAAAACTTCATCTACCCGCCATTAGGTTGCCATCGCGATATCGCAAACCCACCTGTCGGCACACATACGCCGACATGCATACAGTTGCGTCTCGACGGCACTTTCAATTAGGCACAACATCTTCGGCCGATTGCGAGTCTTGGAGACTTTCCGCGCAAGACGCCTCTCCTCCTTCGTGAGGGCGAGGAGGCAGCGCATCGGATGCCGACGGGAGGGGGTCGGATGAGAGAAGCCGGCACGTCGGGCAGTGTGAGGTGCGGCAGAAGACAAATTGTTGGGCTCGGCCGAACCGGTTGGTGCCAGAAATGGCGGCACTGGTTGAGAAGGAAGCAGGCTTGGCAACAGTTCGTGCCCAGCTCGCTCCGACGCCGGCGCTTTCGAGACCGCCAGACGGTGTGTGACTAATGGAGGCTAATTAAAAGGCAGAAATGCAGAAAAACAACTCGCTTTTTGTCAATGATGCTCAAACAGACTGTGATTATGCATTAAATGTATTCACTCAGATTGGTTTAAGCTGATGAACGACTGGCAGCTGAATTTTACACAATCTGACGAGCAAGCTTTAACTACCAAGCGCCAGTCGTCCGATGGGTCATGATATGATTTATGAGTAGTCTGGAAAGCCTACTTATAAACGAAAAATAAGTATGACATTTATTCGTTTAAGGTGATATGGTTGTTGTCAAGGTTGTCATTTCGCATGGAAGTATGCAAGGAAGAGATTCACAGGTCAATCTCACGAGAAGACGAAGGATGATTTGCTTTTTACTCCAGGTCGTCGTGTCACATTACGAACATCGTCAGAGCTGCAATTCATTCAAGGTGAAGCGAACTTAGAAACGAACCATCAACTGTGAGTGCTAAAGAAATCTACCTACGGCATTAGAACGCAGGTGGGCTAGTAGTAGTTATGACAGAATAATCTAGCTCTACCGTCCTTCATTAGTGTATGGAGAAAGCAGGAGGGGTGCTTGCCAAATATAGACCACAAACGAATGGTTAGGCAGACTACGTATTGCGACAAATGCAATAATAATGAAAGCAGAGAACTCAACTGAATAGAATAGAATAGAATAGAATAGAATAGAATAGAATAGAATAGAATAGAATAGAATAGAATAG